GTACAATAATAATGAGTACATCTTAGGTCCCCAGCACTACATGAGGTCTACTAATAGAGGGGAAAAAAGGCCGTCATCCTGAGTCCCTCTCCTCCTGCTTGTTTCTGCCCCAGGCCTCCTATCTGGGTGAGTAGTCCTCAAATTCCCCTCCTGAGCCATATATCCCAATCTCTGTTTTCTTGAACTCATAGACCACTTTGGAAACGGTCACGAAGCTGGGATGATTCATCACAGATCCCGAATTGTAGGACACATACAGAACACTTCATCTCTGCCAATGGGAAATAGTAAAAAGTAGAATACAAAAGAGGGAAGTCGTTTTGGGCTTAAAGGGTATCAAATTGCCCAAAGGGGATCCTCTATGTGTTGGCATTACCTACAAATGAATTAAACACATAGGAGGAGGATTCCCATTATACTGACTATTCTCTGTCTATTGCAAGCAGGTTAACAACCTAAGTATTTGGTCAGCTTTCATTTAAGTACCTAATTTCAATTGATTAATTAATTTATGTAAGTAAATATCAGTCGCCTGCTATATACAAGAGACTGCATGAGAGGGTAAGGAAGATGAAAGGTTCTGGTTTGCCACATCTGCTCTGGGCAGTTCACTGCTGGCTTAGATGTTTGCACTTTATTAAATCGACATTTGAAACCTACCGTGTATTTTCACTGAGACCAGAGCTGTACTTTAGAGAAAGACAAACTCCTATCTCTGTGTAATGGATTAGCTGAAGAGAGCCTAGGGGAGGAGGATGACAGTTATGCAGAATCTTGCCTGGGGAGGCAGCAGTGAGAAGGAAATGGAAGGGCAGATAAGGAGAACTGCCAGTGCAAAATAAACTTGTCCTGTTGACTCGTTGTATATGAAAGGTAAGAAAGAGAGTGAGGACGAATTCTAACTGTTGGGCCTCTATGAAGGTGGTGCCATAGAAACTAGAGAAGTCCAATCGAGGGATAAACACAGAATCATGGAAGTTGAAAGAGGAGAAGGCTACTGGATAGCAGAAGGCTGTTGATAATACCTAATGCTTCCCGGAAGTCAAAAGTGATGAAGAAATGACCATTTGAATGACCACTGATGATTTTAAAGAGAGCAGTCTCTGTAAAGAAAAGAGAACGAAGTCAGGTTTCTAGGATTTAACAGGGTGCAGAAGTAGATGCACTGAGGGTTGACCACTTATTTTGAGATGGTTGGTGTCAGAATAAAAGAATCAAGTGAATAGGAAAGTCATTTTAATGTGTGTTAGGGGTGGGGGTGAGAATATACAGCTAAAATTAAAAAAAAAAATGTATAAAGCCATGGTTTCTAAACCTTTGTGCTCTAGGACATACTGAAAAGAATGGACATTAGAAAGCTTCCTTTAAATTTTCAGTTATATTAAAATGTTTTCATTAAAAAATATTCAGTCTAAATGGGTATCTGCAATATAGCAGTCTTCCTAACTTTGAGATTTTATAAAATAAATAGGTAATGGAGTTAACCATGCCAAATACATTACCTTAAAATTGTCAAATTGATTTATTTGCCCTTCATAATTTGGGCACTTCAGAATTATCATCAGTGGACTTTGGGGACTTTGGAATTGTAATCAGTGGATTTCTTTTATAAGTAGATGAACATCATAAGTATATATAATAAAGAGTTGTATTAAAAAGGAGGTTAGATCTTTTTTTTTTTAAAGATTTTATTTATTTATTTGACAGAGACAGAGACAGCAGGAACACAAGCAGGGGGAGTGGGAGAGGAAGAAGCAGGCTCCCCATGGAAAAGGGAGCCTGATGTGGGGCTCGATCCCAGGACCCTGGGATCATGCCCTGAGCCAAAGGCAGACACTTAACAACTGAGCCACTCAGGCACCCAGATCTTTCCTTATTTGAAATGTAGTTATAAGCCCCTGAAATCAAAAGGACAACCAAGCGATATTGTTCATATATTGACTCCTATTATCATTTAGAACTATGCATTCGGAGTACTTCCAGACTGTTGCAATATGCCAGAAGAAACTCTGCTGAAGCGAAAATAGAGAAAAAAGTTACATGAAGTTTGTGAGAGTAGGTAAAGTAGCATGAGTTGGTGGGAGTTTGCATTGAAGCCAAAACATAAGGCCACAGAAGAAAAAGAAAAAAAAAGGACTCATTCTAGTATGCTAATGAGACCACACCTGGAACAATGCGCTCAATGTGGGATCCGTCACACAAAAATGAACATCTAGGAAACTGGAAATAGTTCAGAGACAAGCAATAAGAATGATTAAGGGCTTGGAGAGACTGAGCTGAAACAAGATTAAAAGGCCTTACATTTGTTTAACGTGGCTCACAGATGACTAAAAGTGGGCATGATATCTGTTTATAAACATCTGAAGGTTGGGTGTAAACATGAAAGATAGAGTAGAATTGCATAATATGGTACTAAAAGGATTTAACTTGAGAAAAAATTTCAAGAGAGAATTTAAAAGTAAATATAATGAAGCTGTCTCCCAGAGAGTGTGCATTTATTTCTTTTTCTTTAGAGACTCTGCCAAGAATGAGGAAGTTTAGTAGAGAGCCCAGCAGAAGAGAATGACCCAACAGGTCCCCTGCAGATCCGATTTCTTCACTTTCATAAACCAGTAGAAACCTTTTTAAGCTTGATCTGTTTGCACAAAATTACTCAGAATATGTGTTTATTTGCAGATTTTAGTAAATCAGCAGCATAGCCCTTTAGATTCCTGGGCAATTGTGTCTTATCCTCATTGGTTCCCGTAATCTGTCATGGGTAGAGTAGTTGAGTAAAACAGTGTTAAACTTAGTTCCTATGGGTTCTGGCTTCTGAAAGGCCATTCTCCCAAAGCTCAAAGGGTTTCCTTAGAATTTGCTAAGAAACAATTGAATGACTTTTTTTTTTTTTTTTTAAAGAACTGCGTATACTTCCAGCTGGAGTTCCAAGGTCCACCAATGGAGTAACTCAAAAGATTTATTTTGTGATTATTTCTATAAGCATCCAGTCTTCTGTTTTCTTTTGTTGGTGAATGTAGTGTCTTATTAAAATTTTTTAGCCTGAAATTTGTTCTTACTAAAGTGATGGAATGGTCTTCCCCTAAGGTTGCTTTTAAATGAAATTAAAATAAAAATTACCTTTTGGATTATGAGCTCCTAGAGGGCTTTGTTTTTTAATTTGTCTTCTATAAAACCCAATGCCCAGTAGTATCATGCACACATGAAAAATAAACAAATAGTAAGTAGATGACAGCTGCAGAAGCATCCGGCCCTGGAGGGGTTGGCTAAAGGAATTGCTAATAAGGGAATCTTTGATTTCCACCGATTTTCAGTATAAAGTCACATTATTTTTTGCTCCCCAAAACATCTCTTTTCTCCAATTAAGTTGGACAGTTATCGATATTCTGATGACCGTATTCGTGTCATGTAGGGTTTGTTAGTGTTTCTGAATCACTTCCAGAATTTTCCAGCAGATTTCAGAATTTCCCCACCTGTCTTTTCAAGCTCTTTGACCCTCTCTCATTGTTTTACTTTTTCCTCTCCCCTTCATTGCCTTGTAGAACTTTGTTGCAGTACCAGACTGGGCCAATAGATGCTGCCACTTCACGAGGTTAACAGTTGGAATATTTCTTTCTCAGAGGTTAAGGCCTAAGATGAAGTGTTAAGGGGGCAGATGGAAGGGGAGGGTAATGGGTAACTGGTATAGTCTCTCTAGAGAGTAATTTGGTTTCTAATTGTGTGCTTATGAATTCTTCGAATTTTACAAGTAAGATACTAAGAAAAACAATAAACAATAAATTAATTTTAAAAAGATACTTCAACTTCAGATACAAGTATATTTTAGGCAAGGAAATCAATAGTTGAATAAAAACAATTTTAAAGGTAACACCTCAAAGCATCTTGGACTCAACATCATTTCTCTACAGTAAAGGAAAGGAAAGGCTTGAAAATGTGTTTTGGAGAGCCTGAGGGACATAAGGAATGTAATTCTTTAAACCAGTGTTTCTCAGACTGGTGTGTGAAATAATTTTAGGTGGCATAGAATAAATAATTTTACATAATACAGATTCATTTGCAAGGTTATTTTCTATTTATGGTAAATTATATTGATTTTCCATTTATGATGATAAGTTTCTTTTGTCAGATAAGCTTATAATACAAATAGTTTAAAGGAAAATATTAAGTTAAAATACTACAGATGATCTAGCAATAATTATAAAAGCGGTATTCAATAGATATGATGGAAATAATGCTTATTTAAACAAGCAATATATTTTGCCTATGGAACCTCAAAATTCTTTATTTCCTATGCTCAATTTCTTATTTCAAACTTGGACTGAAATATGACATTTTATATCACTCTTGTTAGTGTCCATGTAATCTATGTACATTTAAGACTAGATGGACTCAAAGATAGTAATAAAAAGTTGAATACTGTGATATAATTAATTCTGGTTTTTTAAAATAACTTCTATAAATACATTCTTATGAAGATGTATAAAAATATCACATTGGAGCAAAGTAAATTGAAAGCAAGGTCAGTCTTGCTGAAAATCTGATTTTAGAAGGGTGTAAAAAAACCATGCTAAAAAGTTATTTGTATGAACAGTATGCTAGCATATGAAATTCTGCTGTATCCAAATTGGGCATCTCCCCACCTTTATTTAGAGGTCACACTAACAATGTTTCATGCCAAAATGAAATTCAAAAATCGTGGTCATATGAGGAGAGTATTAAATTCAGCATTTGCACTTACTTTTTACGTATTTGATACAGTCATTGAAATGCATACACTGTACTAAAAATATTTGCTATTTTTCTGACTACTCTATTAATAATAATAGCATCACAGTGGCTAACAGTGGTCTTTGGGGTTGCACAGAGGCTGCTTTGAATTTTAGGTCTGCCGTTTACTAGGACGCTGCTAAAAAGTCTGAGCCCTTAATTTTCTCACCTGTAAAATGGGGGAAAATAAGATCTGCAAAGTTAATTAAGTCTTCCCATTGATATTTCTGTCTTACTTGTATATTAACTGACATCCTCTTCAGGCCACGATATGCTTCAGATCATGCTCCAAATCCTTTTTGCACCAAATCCACCACCAGAACCCTTTCCACCTGGAGAAGCAGAAAAAGGAACATGGTGCCTGGCAGGTCTAGGCCTTCAAAATAAACCTGCAGGCAAGATCGACACCCAGTGAGTGGGGAGAGTGGCAGTGAGTGCCTTTATCAGTTTAAATTTACAACCTCACCTTTTCCATTGCCTGTTCGTAATTGTGGACAATGCCCCACTACTTAAAAAATAAGCTGTAATTACAAGAATTCAACTGGTTTTTGCTTTTGAACCTGACAGTCTTGATGTCAGTTGCAAAAGACCAAGCTGAAATAAAGGGGGAAATATTTTTCCGAAATTTTTACAGAAAATAATTTAAGTTGACAAAACATGAAAGCTAAATTTTCTTTGAATAGGAGTAAATTCTACTGGGTACCTTGTAATCTCTCCCACCACATCTAAGGTGATGTGGGGAGCTGCTTGTTGAATCATAGGCTTTGTGCTTAGAGACCACTGGGTTCTCTTCGGTGAAGTTACTTAGGTTTCTTTGGGCCTAGTCTCCTTATCTCTTGCAAGGGCTTAAATAACCACCATACGATAACCACCTTAGAGTTGTGAAAATTAAACGAACATACACCTACCAGAAGGGACCGGTATAATGACTGACAGTAAATTCTCAATAAATTAAAACACTTAAAATCGATGTGACAATTAAAGATGCTCCTAAAATAGACAATAGGTTTCAGGGAGAGGTGATTAAACGGATGCAAAATTTATGTGTTGTTTATGGTCTACTTTGGCGCAGCCTCTGGTTGTGACATACACATATGTTCGTATAGAATATTAAATTCTCTGTGGGTGCATAATGCATGCGCAGAAGGCTTAGGCATGAAATGTCACTTCAGCAATGTGCCTGGGGAAGCTCTGACGCTGCCTGACCTTTGGGCGTCTGGAAGGGATGCCTATACCTGTGCCCAGCGCTGGAAGGGGCCCAGGCCCTTCCCAGCAAAGCCTACCCCCAGACTGCTTACTCGTTCCTAGCATACATCTTCACGCAAAAGGGTATTTCGTCCCTTCCGACTGGCGTGGGTTGGTTTTTCTTTTACGTCGTTGCAAGTAGGCCAAGTCCCTTCTGTCTTCTCCCTTGGGGTAAGTGGAAAGGAATCCGGCAGGGGGCCCGAAATGGCCTACACCCGGGGACTGGGTAGCGGCGGAGTGGCAGGCAACTCCTGAGCTGCCCCGCAGAAGCAGGTGGGGGACAGACAGCGGTTCCCTCGTCCGGGGAGAGGAGTGCGGTCGCGGGTCCCTCCCCTCAATCGCGGGTGGCAGCGGCCGGCGCCAGGCCCGTGGGGGGCGGGGTGGGGGCGGCGCGGAGGGCGCGGACATTCCTGCGGCGCCACCAGGGACTCCGAGGGTCCCAAGCGGCCCCCACGCGGGACCGCGAACGATGACAACAGGCAGTCAGCGAGGTCGAATAAAAAGGAGTTGGTCCCTGCGCGCCGCCCGCCCCGGGGCTCCCCGGCGGCTTCCAGGGGCCGCGGACGCCGGCGGCGGCGTCCCCCGCCCCCAACCCCGCGCGCAAGTGCAAGGCTGCCCGCGGCGCGGCGCACGCTCGGCCGCTCCCGGCTTCCGCGCAAAACTTCGAGCCTGTCCACGTGAAGTTGTCGCTCCCGTTCAGGGGGGGAAAGAGCTTGGCTTGGAAAAGCGGGGCAGAGGCGACAGCGGTGGCGGTGCGCGCGCTCTCTTTTTCTTTTCTTCCACTTTTCCCCCACCCCTGCCTTAGTCCAGAGTTTTGGCTTCTCTCCTTTCCTCCTCCCCCTCGGAGCCGGCTTCTCCCCCCGCCCCGTTTCTCCCCCACTAGTGTACGCTATTTGTTGGGGGGGTGGCCGAAGGGGATGTCCTGTTTTCACCAGAGGCACAACGCGAAGGGGAAACTCCGACACTGGAAGGAACGAGAGTAAATACCTAAATACAGAGGCACGGGTCCGCGGCTGGGACAGACACTTGAACTTCAGATCCCGAGGCAGGCCGGGCTGCGGGGAGGTGAGTGCCCCTTCTCCTCGTCCCCGCCCGCAGGGTCCGGATTGCGGGGAGCCTGTGAACTCTGTCCGGGGCAGTGCGCGCGGCTCTGCCGGGGGCGCGGAGCCCCGGGGACTGGGGACGTACGGCGGGACGGGGTGTGGGCGCCGATTCCCAGCAGGCGCGCGGAGGCGGAGTGCAGCACGCCCGCCCGAGGCCCAGGCCGCCGGGGCTGCAGTGGTGCCTTCTGCCCGGGAGGACACCCCGCGCCCCGAGGGTCTTCTCCAAGCCTGCGGGGCTGCTGCAGGGCCGCGGCGGGACGCGGAGCGCCGCTCCCTACCTGTATTCCCCACCTCCCCCCAGGCTCCCGTACATCCTTCCAGTGATATTTATTACTGCGACTACCCCCTAGATAAGCCTGACACAGGGATGCTGACCCGGTCCGGTGGAGGACCCAGGCTCCTGGCATTTTCACGATGCTGCATGCGTGTGTACGTTCACTGCATGTGCCCTAATCTCGAGGCACGAACCGGCCTTTTAAACTGCGGCCATCCCACTTTAATAGTTTTTATGCGGCGTGGACCGAATGTTTCCTGCAGCTTGCCAGGGTCCGTGAAATTAGAGGCGCCTTGTCAGAGGAGTCGCGTTCATTGGCTCGGGACGCGGATGCCATGGAGGGATTATAACTTCTCCAAACGAAGGGACCTGGCTGCGGAGAGCAGGTTTTCTCTCGTTTCAAAGATTGCTGGGTCTGGGCTGGTTGAGGCGCTGGAAACGGCTGTTTTCGCGTGGTTAAGCGGGATTCGGAAGAAGACCGAGTGTGTGCTTGTTTTATTTTGCGCCACGCAGCAGCCAGAACTTTTCGTTTAGTAACACTTTAAAGATGTCTCTTTCTTTGTAAGCATGATTTGAATAGCTTGGAACTGTAAGGAAATTTGCGGACCGCGTCCCGTGGCAGGGCGGTAGCGAAACCCCAAAGCGATCAATCCCTCGTTGGGGTGGCAGTGTCTGTCCTCCCCGCCACCTCTCCCTCCTTCCCTTGAAGGCTAGTGGGGTTTGTGCTCCGGGCGAGTGGGTGTGGGGGGTGGGGGGGAGGGTAGTGTTTGGAGACAGTCTCTTCTCCCCGCGCTCCCCGCTCCTCTCTCCCCAGCACTCCAGAGCGGGCAGTCATTCATGAATCCTTAACCTGAGGGCAGTGGAGGAAGGTGCAGGTCCCTGGCCCTTTCTGCCAAGGTGCAGGATAGCGACGGGGCGTGTGTTTTGGTTTCAGAGCAGTTCCACGTGGAGCATCTCCGTGTGCGTGTGTGTGTGTTGTGTACTTGATCTGTAAGGAGGTAACAGGAGTCTCGTGTTCAAACCCAGTGGGCCTTTGGCCATTAATTTGCTTTCCTGGCTGTCATTACAGACACTTCCAAAATCTGATACCTAAGAGAACCAACAGGTTAGGTTTCACACTAAGAGCTCATACTTAACAGTTTTCTTTCTCCCTTACCCCTTTTGGCTTGGCACCCTGGGATCAACGTAATTGATGTAGCGAAACATACCTTCTCGAATATGGCATTTTGTTGCTCTTCTCAGCGGCCGCGTTTTGCACCCTCCTGCGTTTGTCGGTTTCTGTGCGCGCTCCTTCGGGACTTGGGTGGGAGTCTTAGGAGTGTTTAACAACCGCGGGCTCCCCTTTAGCAGCTTCTGAAGTTTCATTTACACATAGGTGGCTGGCAGTATTGAAAGTCAATGATGGTGTTTTGTTGGTCGGGTTGTTTTTGTTTTTATTTTTAAAACCCCGTCAGGACAAGGATCGTACTTGATAACCTTTCCTGGGCAGAACTTGGTTTTAAGCAGAAATGTTTCCTTTCCTTCTTCTTCTTCTTCTTTTATAATGTTTCTGGCCAGCTTGTAGCTGAAGAACCAAGAACGAGGAAAGGGGGCGGGGAGAGAATCCTAAAACAAAATATTTGATACGTGGTGTGGTGCGTTTTAGGAGACTGCCCTCAAAGGCATTTATTTGTGTGTGTGTTTTTCAAATAACATTATCCTAAGAAATAAGTAGCAGTAGTAACAAGAGACAGACTGTTTTGTGTGGAGCTAGACTGCCAGAATCTGATTTTTTATGGCAACAATACCAAAGGCAGATATAACCGCATCCATTTTTATTGTTATTATAAACCATAAAAATAGTTTGTTCCACCCGATTAAAAGTTGTAAGTCATTCAGAGTTAAACCAATTTTTAGAAATGACTGTACAAGAAAGAAAATTAAAACTTTTGACAGTTACAACTTTGAAACTAATATAGTTAGATTATTTGTAAACTGTCTTTTTTTTTTTTTTAATTGCTAGGGACATATTTTTGTCTTTCATAACAAGTGAAGGTTTAAAATCATGTGGTTTTCAAAAGCCTGTTTTCCTTTGTCAATTACCTGACAAGAGTACCCTTCAACATTTTAAGGCCATCATAGAAGTTGTTTCACAATTATAATGGAAATAAAAAGATTTACTTATTTTTATTAGGAAGTATTTAATTCATTGGATATTAGAAACAATTTCTCTTATACAAAATGGAAAGCTTTATGTATATATTCATAGATAATATTGAAATCATGTGTTCAAATTTAAAAATTAAAAAGTAAACCCTAAGATTTGTATAAGAAAAAATTGGTTCAGGAACAATCATTATTCTTATTAGGAAATACAGATGCTGCATTCTAGAGGATTTGTAGAAGCTAGCTGGAAAAAAAAAAAAATTGCCTTTGCATAAAAGTTTCTTTTTAGAAGGGAGGCTGGCAGATGAGTAGTTTGTCATTTTGCTGTAATTTATTTTTTCTTCCAAAAAATCTCTTTGAATTAGAAAAAAGAGAAAGCTCAGTTTTCCATTTCTAAGAGTTTCCTTTTTATTTATGTTGTGATTTGGGGTGTAAATAAATTTTACATACCCACGGGAAATAGAGTGTCCAGTTTCATGTTTTCAATCTCTGTTGCAAGCTCTAAATGACTGATGCCATGTCTAAAAATATATTTATGTGGCTTGGTATTTCATTTAAAAAAGTCTATGCATTGAAATTAATTTATCCAGGACTTTTAGAAAAGTAGAATGGCAGAAAAGCCATAACTATTGTTATGAAGATTTAGGATGTTGGAAAATTCACATTCTAACTTTCAAATAATAAAATTAAATTTACCCAATGAAACCTCACATTTTTATAGAGAATCCAAGAAGAGGGGAGATAATCCTTTTTAAGACTTAGTGAAGTGTTAAGTAATTTAAGAGCATGGGTATTTATTATGTTTTTTCATTATCTTTTTTTTTTTCCCTTTAGGTAAATGCAGGAACACTGAACATTCAGTAAAAACAGGCCCCCTTTATAAGGACTTTATTCACATAGTTCTGTATTGCAGCTGCTGATCATATTTCACGGAGCTGTTAAAGCACTTAAAACCTAAAATTAGGTACTGTCTGGTTGTAAATATTTCAGATCACTCATTTAAGAAACAAACAGAAAAGCGTAGTATCAAAAGCAGAAGTTGTTTTGAATCTTTTCATTGAAGAACTGAACAAACCTCTATCAAACACCTTATTTTTTCAGTGAGAATATAATCACGACAGTTTCTTTTCTAAATGAATATTATTTTTACACATTCTAAGCTCTTACAATGTGTCTTCCTATGGAGTATCTTAAACTAATTGTATTCAGAAATGTAGCTGGGGGATTTTATTACAATGGTTACTAGGTGCATGAAATCAACACGAGAACGAATGGATGACATTGCAATGTACCTGCTTCTCTGGTGAATTTTCCCCAGTGAACTAAGAAATGACACGATCTTTCAGGCATTTGTTGTAGAGATGGATGAGATGCAGCAGTGTATTTAATTGCAGTATGTGTAATGCTGCATTCAGTTAGATGTGTTTTAACACGGGGGGCACTGAATATTCATTAAATTGTACATGGAGCCAAACTTGGCATCATTTAGTTTGAACTTGAGTGGAAGAAAATAAACAAGAATCACATATTCAAGCACAGTACAAGCGATTTTGATTGCTTTTAAGAGGTTTGAAGACTTTGTAAACATTACTGTCACCTAATATTGCTCTTGGTACTACACATTAGTATATGCCTTGGTGATACACCATTTTACTCTTGAACTTTGTGATTCTTTCGTGTATCCAGCTATGTTTCTACTAGTAGAGAGGTACTGAAAATGAATGCCACTATCCTTACTGCCCTAACTCCTTTGCTGTCTTTCAGAAAAAGAGATGAAATGGATTATTTTAAAAATAGAAAGCATTTTGAGTTATCAATACCACATTTTTATGGTGGTTTAAAATAGTTTCAGAGAGTGCACCTCTGAGTCTCACGGTAACCTTTTCTGTCATTGAAAGGTGCTAATTGATCTTAGGTCACTGACATAATAGTATGGTTTGATATTTGAAACCTTTCAGCATTGGCCTGGCCCTTTTCTCACCCTGAGATTTCAGTCCATGGCTGATGAATAACACCATATTAAAATGTCAGGAATTCTAATTTTTTTCTTCATATGAAACATTTTAAGAGGACATGCTCATATTTTTAAAACTTTTATTTATATACAATAAGTACATTTATTTTGGTGTACTTTGGGGCCATGGGATAAAGACCTATATTATCATGTTAGGATTTTTTTTTTTTAAAGATTTTATTTATTTATTTGACACAGAGAGAGAGAGGGAGAGAGAGAGAGCGTGCACAAGTAGGCAGAGCGGCAGGCAGAGGGAGAGGGAGAAGCAGGCTCCCCGCTGAGCAGAGAACCCCATTTGGGGTTGATCCCAGGACCCTGGGATTCATGACCTGAGCCAAAGGCAGATGCTTAACCGACTGAGCCATCCATGCACCCCATGGATTTTTTTAAATATTATTTTTTCACAGGTAGATATTTTTATATTGAAAGTTTGATTGCTGTCATCACATTGGAATACTTTCAAAGTGAAGTTGCATTAAACCAATATTGAAGGGGTGCCTCGGTCAGGTCATGATCCCAGGGTCCTGGAATCGAGCCCAACATTGGGCTCCCTGCTCAGG